ATGCGATGCGATGCTATGATCTGATATGATATGCCATGCTGCGCTATGCTATGTTGTGCTGTGCTATGCTGCGCTATGATATGCTATGCTATGCTGCGCTATGATATGATATGCTATGCTATGTTATGATATGATGCGCTGTGCTATGCTATGCTATGCTAAGCTATGCTATGCTAGGCTATGGTGCGCTATGACATGATATGCTATGCTATGATATGCTATGCTGCGTTGTGCTATACTGCGCTATGATATGCAATGCTATGCTATGCTATGCTATGCTAATGCTGCGCTGCGCTAAGCTAGGCTAAGCTGAGCTAAGCTAAGCTAGGCTAGGCTAAGCCAACTTAAGCTAAGCTAAGCTAAGCTAAGCTAGGCTAGGCTAAACTAAGCCAAGCTAAGCTAAGCTGAGCTAAGTTAAGCTAGGCTAAGCTAAGATGAGATAAGCAACGCGAAACTAAAGGAACGTCGCTGGGGGAACCGCGGGGCGGATGCCGGGGGAACCGCCCGGGGCGTGCCCCACTGCCCGGCCCTTTAAGCAAACAGAGTAAGAACCCTGCCAGGCAGAGCCTAGGTAGGGAAAAACATGTTTCAAAAAATACACCCGAAATATCAAAAAAAATCAAAAGTGGTCCCCAAGCTATATTTTTATCATCTTTCACGATTCCTTCTGTAGGGGGACGGGTCCGACTTAAGATGAAGATCCGCAGGATAATCCTACCGCGGCAGCCAGGAAACTTTGAAAACAACTCTGGCAACCAAGCGCGAACGGGGGCCCCCTCCCCTAGCGCGGCCAGGGAGGCGAGAGCGCCCACGCGATCGACCAAAGAAATTCAAATAACAGATCCGGCGCGGATGTTCCAATACGGCGTGTCTTGGAAGCCATTCAATACTTCCGCAGGTTTCCGCTGGCAGTCCACCTGCTCCAGCCAGCGGAAGCCGCCTCCTTGTACTTCCTCCTTTCCAATCACTACCCCATATCAGTTTATGGAAGTTTCGTGGCGGGCTTCGGTCTCTTCTCGTGTCAGGCGCAATCTAAAAATTAGTTCGGGCGCCCTGCGACGAGGGCCAAGGACAAGGACGAGAAGCTCATGCACAAACCCAGTGGCAACAGGCCCGACGCGATGGGCAAGGCGCTGATCTCCGGCATCGGCGAGACGGTCAAGATGAACCAGGAGCAGTTGATGAAAGCAAACCAGCCAGAGTCCCGACGCAGCACGCGGCCATGGTGACTCAGGCGGACGCGAAGTTCAAAGTGACGAGGCGTCCCAAGGTGACAGCTGAGGGCGCGGAGGGCAGCGAGGACGAGACGAGGTGTATCACGGCGGCGAACGGCCGCGCCACCCTCCATGGGGTCTCTGCTCGCTCGACCAACGGCTTCAGGCGACCAGCTGCGCGCTCGCGCGCGCGCCTACAATCGAATTCCGACACGCGACTCAGCCACCGAAGCTGGGGACGTCCAAGCCGAGGGTCTCCATCCATTCGGAAGATGCTCGCGACGGGGCGCCCGCCTATGCCCCGGCGGGCCGGCGTTCCAGGGCGCGACGGCCTTCAGTATGCTCAGCAAGGGTGCAGCTTCGAGACAGCCTCCATCCTCGAACCTCAGCCCGCCGAAGATGCAAACCCTCACAACAATGGGCGGGTCGTTGGGGCCGCGCGGAGCAGGCTGGCCACCTAATCGCTGGCGTTGCCCTCAGCTCTTAACCTTGCGCCCTTGTGCTTGACGGACGGGGCGGCGTGCGCTGCTGGAGCTTCATCGTCGGCCGAAGTTCTGGCGCCCTTGCCCCCGGCGCGGCGGCATCAACTTCCTCCTCGGCCGAGGCTTGCGCGCGCCTGCGTTCGCTGTGCACCACCTTCTGGGCTGCTTGGCTCGCTCTGGTGAACTCCGCCAGCGCCACGTTGCGCATGCTGGAACCAGCGTCCGAAACCTGGGACAGCTTCCGCTGGGCCCCGTGCATCTCTTCTATGCGTCTCCAAGTCTCCGCCTCGAAGGTGGGCTTGATAAGTGGGCAGCGTGCTCGCGTCGATCGGGGCTGCAGCGTCAGTGACGGTAACCTCCAGCTCGTTGAAAGAGTCGCACGGCGTGGGATAACGTCGGCTTGGCCCGCAGATGTCCCGCCAACCGTCTCTCAAGTTCTTGCGGTCAAGTGCTTCTCGCAACACAACTATGAATCTCTGGACTCGTTCGGGGGGGCCATCGTCTTCTTGGGTCCCTGGGTCACCTGCCGCTTCCCACTGACGAGACAGCTTCAAATCCTTCCATATCTCGAGTCTAATCCAGCTTGATGACTTTGGCGCCTTTCGTTTTTTCCATTGGGTCCAAAGTGCACTCGGCTGACAATGGGAGCGATGGACTCTGCAATCTCCAAGGTTTACTGGCAATGTTCGCATCGGCCTCGAATCGATCCGACATCTCCCTGTCCGCCGAACTAATACCAAGTCCGTGGTACCCCATCCCTGGCCAGGTCTCTTCCACGTACCGTTGAACATGCCTCTGCTCTCGAAAGTGTGTTCAGCGCTCCATCTCGAACTCCTGTCCACGATCTGCATCAGGCTGTGGCCGTTGCGTTGATGAAAGGCTTCACGTGCCTGCTGCCCGCGCCCTCGGCCCACGGCAGGAAAGGCGCCACCCGGGCGTTCGCGATCAGCGTGAAGATCAGCGAATGCGGGACGGAGTCTACTCGATCCTCAGCTTCTCATGCTTGCCCCTGTGCTCTGCCTGATTGGCTCCCGCCCCTGGTCTGCTCGCCTCGTTCGTCGGATCACACGCGCTTCAGAACGGAGACGTCGCGCTCGTGTTGGTCGCGTTTCAGCCGCAGCCCGTGAAGTCACCATCCCATCCAAATGCAGGTGCACCTCATTTCCATGTCTTGGAAAATCTTCGTGTTGTAGGCGGTGGTGCAACCATTTCTCCTCGGCGGGCTCCTTGGAATGGGCTGGATGCTGAAGCCCTCGCAGCGCCACGGTTTGCTCATATCCACCTGGGCCCCTGAATGCAGAACAGCGCCACTCCGGATTCCATGGCCACGATCATCAGCTCTTGAGTGCGCCACGCCACCTTCAGGGACTCGGCGCTGAAACTCCATACTTGCATGTCAGCGCTCCTGGTGCGTTTCCTGTCCTCCTCCTCCTTGGCGAGGTGCACGGCACGAGGGACGGACTGCACCGACTGCTGCCTCATCTCGATGCTCTGAAGCACTGCGCTGGATGCGAGCGCGGCGCGTTTGCCAAGATACCAACATACGCCAGTGGCCAGTTCCAGCCGCACAGCTCGCCGCAGCCCCCTGTCCCCCTGGCCCTTGCGCTCTGGCTCGCGCATTGTCGGGGCGGTCGAAAGGGGGGGACAGCAAAGGGGTGTGTGTGTGTGTGTGAGAATCAGCTCACGTAGCTGATTTGCCCGGCGCCTCCTGGCGCCGGGAGGCGCCCTTGTATCGAGGAATGGGCCCGACGGCGGGGCCGAAATCAGCTGCATGCAGCAGATTTCGTAACCTCCCCTTGCCCTATCCCCCCCCTTCGTTCGGCCCGACATTGGCTTGTCGCCTGCAGCGTCTGCTCTGAGCTCCAGCGGGGCCGAGCCCTCCCCGCAGCGCTCGCCTCACCAGCCGCCGCCGCCACGCAGAGCCACTGCACGGGCTGGGCGGAGACTTGCGACCCCGCACGGCTTCGGAGGCCTCGCGTCTTGCACCGTCGAGGCATTTTTGTTGTACTTTCCGCCGGCTTCCGTCAGCCTTCCGGGGTACTCCGTCGGTCCTCGAAGGCAAGGCGGCCAAGCCTTGCTCTGGAGGTCCATACATGTAAGCCGCAAGTCCTAACACTTCCGGATGTGGGTGTCGGAGGGAGAGGGAGAGAGAGAGAGAGAGAGAGAGTCTTAGCCTGTAGCGGCCGAGCGCTCCATGGCGGCTCCCCCTTGGAGTGCCCAAATGCTATGCCTGCTGCATCGGGACGACCGCAGTGCCAATAAAGGAGAGGAATCGGAAATGTCCAAAACCAGCGGTTCGCAAGAGACGTCCCGATGATCCAGCCGCGAACTGCCAAGTGGAACACCCCTTTCGCTGCTCCCGAATGGGGTGGCCAAGTGCTGTGATTGGCATTTCGGTGGTCGCGGGACGCTGGAAGGAGAGGAGTCTAGGTGCCCAATCCAGCGTTTCGCCAGAGAAATCCCCACAGTCTGGCCAGTGGCACGTTGTGGAGAAGTAAGACTGAGCGCGAGTCTGAACATGGGTATCTGGGTGTGATTGATCAGCGTCCGAATGGTTATTGTAAATCAGTGTGCTTCTGAGTACCGAGCAGCTATGGGTGGACCCGAGTGAGCAAGTCTGAGTATGAGTGAGTCCGGATACGAGTGGTCCTGAGTGCTGAACGGAGAAGCGGATGAGGAGGCTGAGGCGTCACACTAGCAACAAGAGCACCATTTCATGGCAATTCGCAGAGCAGGAAAGCCATGCCCCCCTCGTGCCACCCCCCTCTGCGCGCCGCTGGGTGAGGACGACAATGACGAGCAGGTCTTTAGCATCGCCACCTGGTACCTCGCTCAAACCACAGAACGGACACGCCAGGCAAAAAGAAAAGTAACCCCCGATCGAGAAGACCCCGTCGTGGGAGGCTTCAGCTCGTAACGACTAAGAGGAGGACGACGGCGACGGCGACGGCGACGCTGACGCTGACGGCGACGACGACGACGGTGGCGGCTGAGACTAGAAGATGGAACAGTTGCAGAATAGCGTTCGGAGATCCGCGCGGTCTTCTTGGCCCCCTCCTTGGCGCGCGGACCACGCAGCCCCTGGCGCGCTCCGCGCCACGGAACAGGGCCCAGCGCCGACACCGAGCAATCCGCGCGGAGCTCCAGAAGCCCGTGTGCATGCAGACGGTTCTTCTCCGAGCGTCAGCGGCAGCTGCAGCGGTGGGGCTGGCGGCAGCGGCGGCGAGCGGCGGCGGCGAGCGGCGGCGGCCAAGGCTGCGAGCTGCGGCGGAGGCGAGCGGCGGCCCCCGCCCGCTCGGGGAGCCCCGCCCCCTCGCGCTCCGAGTCGATCCCCAGGCAGCTCCACGGCTTCAGGCAGTTGCCAGTGAAGTGGGCTGCCTGCGGCCCGGGCGGCGCGCGACCGTCGCCGCCGCCGTCGGCGTCGTCTGCGTCGGCGTCGTCGTCGGTGTCGGCGTCGGTGTCGGCGTCGCTGGCGTCTGGCGTCGGCGCTGGAGCAGTCGGCGTCGCCTTCGTCGGCGGCATCGTCCTCAACCTCCTCCCTGCCCTAGCTCTCCTCCTCCCTTGCTGGCGAGGTTGCACCAAGAAATGCACAAGGGCCGCGGCCCCGGGAGCTCTCGACACCCTTCCTGGACGGGGCTCTTCTCGGTGGACGGCCATTTAATAGACCTGGGGCCCGAAGCAGGCAACCCGACGCAAACATGCGACGATGTGGTTGTTGTTCAATCCGCTGGCCCCTGGGGGCAACTCAGCGCTCTGGATATATTTATAGTGGTCACCCCGCGGCCCGAGAGCGGTCCCACAAGGCCGAAATCAAGGCATAAACGAAGGGATTGAACAAATCACGACGTCGGAGGTCTGGGGAGGACAACACGTGAAAGCCTGGTCGCTGTGATTGATCAGATGCGTCCAAGGCGACAACGAACCCGATGACCCACCGAACCGACACCGATACTGAACTCGACCGACGACGGACAGACCGAGTGAAGCCCAGGAAGGACGCAGCGGCGCAGCAAGCCACCGAACAGATCTGACCGAGTGCGGCATGCCGCGCGGCAGCCGAACTGAGTATCGTTTAACCGATCCCCATCCCCAGCGGCGTGGCCTGGGCCCCACTGGCCGATCTACCCCCCTAGATGGGGATACAGAAAGCTTCCTCGGGTCTCGAGGGGTGCATCCCCCACTGGGGTGGTAATTTGGTGGGGGTCTCGAAAGGGATGGGGATGGGGATGGGGATCGCTTAAACGATACTGATGCCTCAGGAGGAGGAGGAGGAGGAGGAGGAGGAGGAGGAGGAGGAGGAGTAGGAGGAGGAGGAGGAGGAGGAGGGAGGAGGGAGGAGGGAGGGAGGAGGGAGGAGGGACCCGGGGCGGCGGAGGCCCGAGCACCCTGACCTGGAGGCCTGCGCCCGCCAGGCACAATGGGGCACCGGCGGGGGGGGGGGGGCGGCCGCTGCCTTCACGCCCTCGGCGACCTTCGCCAGGTCACGGCCCTCGAGGTCCTCGAGGGAAGCACGGCGGTCTGGGTGCGTCCACGCGGGGCGCTCACCTGGGGTCCACGCCAGGCCCCCGGCGTCGTGATTTCCCCTACGACGTCGAGCCCTAGAGCTCTGGATAGCTTCTCGAGGACCGATGTTTCATCCGGATTCGTCGGTTGACGCCCAGACGCCCAGTTAGGCCCCTGGAGGCCGAAAACTGCCAAAAACCGCACACCGTGATTTTTCATGAGCCGAGGGGGTCTGGGACCACAGCAGCCTCGCGCTGCGCGCACCGCGATGCCCGGATGCCTCGGCGACCTCGCGGCGTCGCCCTCAAGGAGGGAGATGTTACAACCTCCACGGATACATGCCCCCAATCATGAGGACCAAGGCGAGGCCAGGAAATTCACATTCCTCTCCATTTCGTTCAGCTAGGGGCCCCTGCCGCTGCACTAAATTGGTGGATGCCATGGCATGGACACTCTTACAACCCTATCATTGAATTTAATTAAAGATGTGTTTAAAATGTGTAAAACACGTTCTAAAAACGTTTCATCTATGCTTTAAACACATTTGAAACAGATTTGGAACATGCAACATGCTTCCTCTCCATTGACCGTCCTCCACAAAGCTAGGGGCGCCTGCCGCTGCATTGAGTAGATCCCCAGGCAAGGCCTCCCAGCTCCACCTGGCTTGCCCTCGCGGGACCTGGCCGGCGTGCCCTCGCGGGGCTGGGCCAGCTCGACAACTCTGCCGCCAGTGCTGTAATGGTGGCAGTCCGGGTTATTACAAAGCAACGAATCCGCCGACCCCTTGGTTAGGAGGCAACTACTGGGAGGTTGGATCAAGGAGGATTAAGCCCCATTGGGGGGCTGTTACGCCAGAATGGGCCTCGGATCAAGCGGGATTAAGCCGGATTCAGCGGGAGAAAGCCGGATCAAGCGGGATGACGCCAGATTAAGCGGGATTTCGGACCAGGGCTAAATCAGAATTTGACCTCCCAGGAGTTGCATCCGAACCTTGGGGTTTACGGCGTGTGAGACTGTCGCCCGCCCCCAGAAGCCTCCCCAGGGGGCCCGTCTGGCCAGTTTGGAGGGGGGGATCTGCAAAATTTGCTGGCGGCCCTGGTCGCCTCAGAAATAGCCCGGACGGCCTGCATGACTTCGGCATGCCTCTCAGGGGCTCCTCGACGAGCCCCAATGGCGCCACCCAGTCGTCCAGACATAGCTTCAAGACAGCCCTCGGAGCCTTCAAGTCGCCAACCGAGTGGTCCCAGAGGACCACTCGCGAGGGCCCCAACAAACCAACATCAACAAACTCCAAAACAAAAACCTGACGAAACTCGTTCAGACGCCCTGCTCAGCGACTTGGCACAGGCCACGACTGGGTAGTCGAAGCCAATCTGGCGCCAATCTGGCAGGCCCAATCTGGCAAACGGGGGCAATCTGGCGAGGGAGCCAACGCGAATCCAGTCTGGCGGATCACCCAAATCGTCCAGCTTGGCCAGGCCAGATTGGCCCTTGGGGCCCAATCCAATCTGACAGTCTGGCCTTCGACTACCCAGCACGAGGCCTCGGGCCCCACAACCGCTCCACCGAAGCCCCATAGACCCAAGACGCTCCAAGGTGACTCCCTGAGGACCCCCGAGGGCCCCAGGAGGGGCCCAACAGCCAAACTCTGCACATTCCTACCAGCAAAAACAATGCATGTTTGGCAAACTCGTTCAGACGCCCTGCCCAGCGACCCTAGACTTGTGGAGGCCACGACAATGGACACCCTAACAGTCCTATCTTTGAATTTAGAATGTGTTCAAATTGTCGGAAAAATGTTCTAAACATGGTTTAACCATGTTTTTTTTAACACGTTTACGACATGTTTAACACATGTTCTAGGCATCTGGAAATTATTTGGCAACATGCTTCCTCTCCATGGATCGTCCTCCAAAACCCTAGACGGGCCAAGAGGCCTCCAGGAGGGCCCCACGACGGCTACTGGCGGCCAAAGAGACGCCCAAGACAGTCCAGGAGAACCCCGAGATGGGCTCAAGGCCGCCCAAGATTGGCTCATGACGGCCCAACACAGGCCCCACCCAACCCAAAATGGCCCCGTTACGTCCCGCAAGGCGCCGCGGACGACCCTGTGAGGCCCCACGGATCTAGCCGACCCCGAGACGCTCCAAGAGACGCCCAAGACAGCCCAAGAGGACCCCGAGACGGCCTCAAGACCGCCCATCGACCATGGAAGTGACAGCGCCGATGCTGCACTTCACCTCTCAGGAGTTGCATCTTCAAGTACGCACGCACATCCGTGGCGCTTCGCCAGCGGGGGTCTGAGGGGGAGGGAACGGTGGGGGAGACTGGTTCCCGGGGGGGTGGAAGGCATCGACCTGGACTCGGCGATGCGTCGCAGATGCATCGGCAATAGGGCCCCGGTTTCGAAACCACACCTTCCTGGGCGGGGTGGGCCATCAGGCCCCCATCGGCGATGAACGGGCGTTGAGTCGTCGATGCGGCCCCGCACCATGAGCCTACATTTCCCCCCTCACTCGGCGGCGAGCCTGGAGGGAAGTGAGAGGGGCGGGCCTTCTCAGAAGGCTCGGAGGTCCCCCGGCCTTCTGAACAGTTTTGGAAGCCTTCCCCGTAGACGCAAAAACATTATCAGGAGGCGGGAGGGCTTATGACAAGCCCCGCCGACTTCTGCGAGGGCCTTCTCATTCTCACTTCCCCACCTCGCGCGCCATCGACTCACCGATGCCCCTGAGCACCACTCCTTGGCACCGAGGTGAGCCTGGCCAGGATCGGCGCAACTTTACATGTTCCTGCCATCGCTCGAACGTCCATTCCAAGTGCATGCCGGCCTCGTGCGAGACTCGTTTCGCAGGGGCGGCCCAGGATAATGGGCCTGTTTTCCACCACCACCACCACCATAAATTGGAGGGGGGAAGGAGGAGGAGGAGGAGGAGGAGGAGGAGGAGGAGGAGGAGGAGGAGGAGGAGGACCCCTTCTCCCTCCAACTTATTGTAAGTTGGAGGGGGGACGGAGGAGGAGAAGGAGGAGGAGGACCCCCTCCCCCTCCAACTTCTGGTGGAAACCAGGCCTATCACAGGATGCTCCCAGAGGGTCCACGCACGTTCTGGCGCTGGCCTCGCCGAGCGAAACAGACGCGCCCGAGCGATGCCACGTGCTTTTGTTGCACCCCGGCACAGGCCGGCGGCCTCCGCGCCCCATTCGCGAGGCATCCTCCAGCAGTATCCGGCCTGACCCCAAGGAAGGATAAAGCAGGAACGAAGCCCCGTCGGCCGCCGATACGTAAGGATACATAAGGAACGAGAATAAGGAACGGTACCTAAGGAACGATACCTAAGGAACGATACATAAGTAACGATACCTAAGGAACGATACATAAGGAACGAAGCGCAGATCATTCTAAGGAGTCCGAGGGAATACCAGGAAGCTCGCCGCCAATAGGGTAGCGGAACGCATCCAAACCAGAGGAACGACCGAACCCCTTTTGAAAAGTAAGTGTTCCTTATTCAAGCCGGACCCTGTACGACGGCCCCAGCGAGGGCCCCAAGAGGGCCCCACGACGGCCTCCAGGCGAGCCCGAGCACCACCGGGAGCGCCCAGGATCGGCGGCACTGGCCGGAGGCCACTACGATTGTGGATGCCATGACAATGGACACTCTAACAGTCCTATAATCGGATCAAAAATGTGTTTGAAATGTAAGAGAAATGTCCAGAAAATATCTAAAACATGTGTTTTACAAGTGTAAAGCAGTTTAGACACATTTTCCAGACATCTGGAAATTATTTGGCAACATGATTCCTCTCAACTGATCGCCCTCCACAACGATAGGCACGCCCGAGCGATGCCAAGTCTTGCATTTCTGCCCCGCCACGGGTCGGCCTGCCACCACGCCGCGTGCCGCACGCTGTGCGGCGCCCGCGCCGCACCTGTGTGACGCCTCGCGCCGCCGCCTCCCCCGACGCAGGGGCAGCTCTCCGCGCCCAGGGCCGCGAGGCGAAGCCTCCTCACGGCGGGCGCCTCCCCTACACAAAGGGTTAAGAAACTTCTGGTGACGACGGGTTTTACGTACAAGTTTAACTAGAGGTGAACCCCGTCAACGTAGCATTGAGTACACATACAATTACCGGTAACATTAACGTCCAGTTAAAAATGCCTCACCCAAACACCCGTCCTTACGGCGGGCTCCTAAGGTAACATTGGTTACGCGCCGTCGCCGCGTGTATTCAATGCGCGGCGGGCGCCTCCCCCGGCGCCTCTCGGGGACTCCGCCCGGGTCTCTACGAAACCTCGGCTGACCACCCCTAGCTGCACGACGACGAACCGGCTGGCTGGAGGATCTCGCAGCGAGAGCACTGTCCCACACAACCCCGCACCCTGGAAGCTTGCAAAAACTCGTTGGCTGAGTTCGCCACTCAAATGGCAGACGGCTCAACGGGTCGGGTTGTTGCCGGGACCGTGTAGAAGACACATCGTGGCCTCCTCGTCTTGAGCTACAACATGCAGTATGCTGATGTGTTCCAATAATGCAATGTTCCAAGGCGCTGGTATTACCAGACACAACCCTGAACGCATCGCAATCAGAAGAAAACGCTGTGCATGTTGCATCCTGGGTTATGCTCGAGTCTCTTGGAAGCATTACGCGGCTGCCAACATCCCATCTCAAGCAAGGCTGGCTCGGCCTGAACACCCTGAACACTTTGAGCAGTGCCGCCGTGAAGTCCTCTCATCAGAGCGTGAAAACCGAACATAACTTCAACGTCACAACACGATGATGTGCACTACGTTTGACACGCCCGCAAACGGTACAGAAAAAAGGCACGATGCACAAGGGCGAATGTTGTCCAAAGCCGACAGTGGCCGCTGTTGCGCAGGCATGTGTTTCAAATGGACAACGTCTGCGGCGGCACCAAAAGCTATTCCTGTTGGTGAGCCAGGGGCGCTGATGTGCCTGGCACTGCGTTGCTTTTCTTTTGAATTGCTTTGCACTGCGTGGCATT